GCTTAAGGATGAGCAAATTCTCTTAAGTCATGTTAAACAAAGTATGTCATGTTGCTTCCAATTTCCTCTAAAAGCACTTCTCATGTTTGCATGGAGAATGACAAGATGAATATGTCAGCCTGTCATGTTTCTTCATGTGATGTGTGTGGATTGGTAGCTCATCAGAACATTGCCCATCTTCTAAGAATCAAGTTTCAATGTCAAGTCTTACTCTCATGCTATGTATGGTCTATGTATATCAGAATCCATTGTTTTGTAACTTTATAACTATATTCTTTTTTATTCATGCATGTGTATATGTATGTTCACGTGTGTAAGGGTGCACGTGTATGGAGGTGCGTATGTGCATGTGTGGTAGGAGGTAGGTGGCAACCTTCGGCATTATCCTTAGGAATACCATCTACCTCCTTTGAGACCACATTCCACATTGACCTAAAGTGCATCAATTGGGCTAAACTCGCTTGTAAACAAACTAAAGGGACCTCCTCTCTCTACCTCTCAAGTACTGAGATTATAAGATGTGTCATTATGCCTGACTTCTTCATTTGGGTTTCAGGGTTGAATTCAGGTCCTCCTGTTTGCAAGGCAAGCACTTTACTGACTGATCATCTGCCCCCAGACCTGTAGTAATAGTCTTACTTTAAGATATTAAAGAGCAAAAGCAAATAGTGGTCATCCATCATTTGCTATGTACATTCAAGGACTCTGGTTATTGGAAAAGTGACCATTCCAAAGCATGCTAGTTTTAGCCTTCTTTTCAGGCTGCTAAATAAGTACAGAAGTCCAAAAATGAGTAAATAATTATTTTGTAACTTTCTACCTGTTGTGTATTCTTTCCTCTGAGTTTGAAACATTCCATCCTGCAGGGAAGCTCCTTAAAACAGGAAGGTACACAACTCAAAATAGCTTCAGGAAGTCCCTGAAACTGACCAGATTCACTAGCCCCCCACCCTACCAGAGTAAACAATAAAAGCTGAGTCTCAGACCCAGCTAAGTCAAACTGTGAAGAAGACTCTGAGGCCAGATCAGCTTGCCTACAAGAAGCAGAAACCAGCTGGATGCCTGGAAGAGGTTTAGAAAAACCAGGCACCTGGAAAGGACACCCCCCCAACCTGTTGAACTCCCTGCAGGCTGTGCAGTGTGCTCCAAGCTTAGCTTTTGTGAGCTGTCATCCAGCTGGAGTGGGCTTTGGTGATGCAGCTGTCTCTGAATCATTTCTGCTCCTGTAAGTAACCCCTCACCCATATGCCTGTAAGTCATCCCAATAAAACTCATTGCTTCACCAAATTGGACTTTGGTGGTATCCATACTTTGGTCTGTTGTGAGTTCCCTATCTAGGGTGAAGACATGTATGTTGCATCTCCCCGGGGAAAAAAGTTTTGTCACACAACAACACCTAAAATAGTGTGGTTTGTTTCTCCAAAATTACCTACCTCTGCATATTCAAAATTACTTTCTGAGAGCCTGCCATATGTAAAGGAGTTGAAGGGACAAATTCTTAATCTCCACTATAAGACTTAAAAGACATTTTTGGAGGTCTATAAACTCCTATAACTCCATTTTTAAAGTATTCAAGAATTAGTCAGCTTAGTAATAACTGAGGTTGCATGAAACACTAACTGCTTTTGGGGGAGTTGGCAGTCGGTTTCCTTGCTCCTTTAAGACTTTCATCTCTCCTCTCTCCCCTTGCAATGCAACACTGCCTTCAAATGCCATTCTTTAAAAGGAGGCTTTATGGCTTTGGAAGAATTCACTGGTTTCACAGCCAGTTTTGCCACTGCAGCAGAAAAGAGACAGCATGTGCAAGCCAGCTGAAGTCATATGTGTGGTAAAAATTAGGGCTGCAGGGCCATGCTGTTGTCAAACTGCATTTGGAATTATGTAGGCATGAGAAACCAGGGATTCTTGCTCACAGTCCACCAGGCTGCTGCATTTCTGATCCAGTCTGGCATGACCCATTAGGCATCAGAATTGTGAAAGTCACAGTGAAACCAAACAAGGGCTTCCATTGGCCTCCAAGTGTGACCCTCCCTGGCTTTTGCCAGACCTAGAATATTGTCACTCATCAGTTAAGGTCAGTTTCTTTACAAGGACAGGAGGTCCAGGAAGGGTGGACCAGATGGGACAACAGGTTTAGCTGAAGGTCCCCTTTTTATGCTAACTACTACAAGCACAGTTGTTTATCTGTCCAGCTTGAAAACTCATTTCTGTTCTTCAACTTTGCCTGTCATTCAGAGGTACCATTTTCATAGGAAAATGCTTAAAATTCCTATGAGCTAGACCACTGATCTAGAACATTCAATAAAGGTTAATTTCTTGGCACTCCAGCTTTAGGGGGAAAGTCAGTTTTCAGGCAGCCTGGAGTGGTGACTCAGCATGTGGGAGGTAGAGGCAGGAGGATTTCTATAAGTTTGGAGTCAACCTACTCTATATAGTGAGTTGCAGGCCAGCCAGAACTACATAGTGAAGACCCTATCCCCTGAATAAAAAGCCACAAAACCTCTCAGGGTTTGGTTTTAAAAATATTAATCCAGACGTGGATCAGATCTCTAGATCTAGAGGCTAAGAGTTGGCTGAGAACTCAGAAGCCAGTGACTGCAATGACCATCATCTGTTCACTCTTCAGGGGCCTTTCAGATAAATTTACTAAAGCAGAAAAATGAAAAAATCATATTTGATGAAAAATGAATTTATCCAATTAGAATGCAGCTACTTGTTGCATGTAACTCTTCATTGGTGAGATGAGGCTGTTGTATATAGGTGGTGGCACCTCAGAGGGGACAGCTCCAAATATCATCCTGAAAGATACTTAACGAAGTTCCTTTAGGCACAGAAAGACAGGTCCGACTTTCTTTACTTGCTTTCAACCTCCAGCTCAAATCCTATCCCTCCCTAGTCTTCCCTGATTATCATGGTCAATGACTTTTGCCTCCGTAACAAGCCCCTGGGACCACTGTGTAGCACACTCCATTTCATACACTGTAATCTTTGCTATGGAGTGGATTACTTTCCTAAGTCAGTGATTGTGCCTTGTGCATTTCTCAATGTTTCTGAAATTAAAGTCCAGACCAAATACAAAATAAATGTAAACTGCCAAAAATCCAAGAGAGATTAGGAATTTGTATTATAGTCACAAATTATATAACCGCATTTGGTCATTTCCAATCACATGTACCCTGCTATTCCTGTAAGATGACAATGTAGCAAGGAAGAACTCATTGTCAGCCAATGGGGGCAGCAGGTGTCCTGATATTTAAGCATAATATGTTACTTGCGTATGTGGGGTGATGCTGGTATGAGCAAACCTACTGTACTGCTGGGTGCATAAAATTACAACAGAGACAATTATGCATAATATATAAAACTTGATGATGATAAATGAATGTTACTTTTTAATGTATTTATTGTATAGCTTTCATCATTATCATATAGTGAATCCCTTTACATATTTATATAGAAGCATACTGTAAATGCATAGCTGTGTTACTTTAGCCCAGTCTCATACATTTCAATGTTTAACATCTCTCACCATTTTTATCTTCTGTTTCATTTAACCTCATAATGTTGTGCTTATTTTGACCCTAAGAGTTGTGGGCTATACCATCTAGCTGCTTAAGCATGTAGCAGCCAATACCAACTAGGTCTGTGTGAGTTCACACAATGACTTAATCATCCAGCAATGCATCTATGAATATGATCTGTAGTTAAGCAATGTGTGACTGTATTTAGCAAAGCTGTTTTCGGAAACAAACTACAGCCAAATGATGGGCAATATTCCAAAAGCAGAAGCAAGCCCATGGAAAAAGCATTACATGCAAACTGGATGATCAGCAGACAAATATAAGGCTCTGACATACTACTCAACCATCTCAAAAAGCTTATCTGGGGGTGAGGAGATGGCTCAGTAGTAAAGTACTTGCATGAGAATGTGAGATTAGATCCCCAGCACCCATGTAAAAGCTGCACAAAGCAGTGGAACACATGTGTAACCTCAGTACTGGGGAGGCAGTGTCCGAAGTTTATTGGCCAAACAGTGTAGCCAAATTAGTGAGCTCTGGGTCACTGAGAGACTCGATCCCCCCCACACACAAATGAGGTGGCGAGTGATTGAGGTAGGCATCCAACATTGACCTGTGGTCTCCATATGTATACATACACACGTGCAGCTGGATACCTGCACATACATATAACACACGTGTGCAGCTGTATACACACGTCCATACACACATACATACATCTCAAAACAAATGAGTTCTGACTCAAGGGATTCTCAAATTAGCAGCCATACTTTTGGGTTAAAAGTTTTCCAACCAGTGGAGCTGGAGAAATGGCTCAGCAGTTAAGAGCACTGGCTGCTTGTCCAGAGGTCTTTGGGTTCTCTTCCCAGCACCCACACCCAGCAGCTCACAACCATTAATAATGGGATCTGATGTTCTGATGCCCTCTTATGGCATGCAGGTATACATGCAGACAGAGCATTCATACATAAAATACACATATAAATAGTTAAAAATTTCAACTATCATACCCTCTAATGAAGTTCTTTCTTCTTCTTCAGTGCTGGACATGCCTGAAACACACTCTACTGCTAAGTCACACCCTGAGCCCCTAAATCAAATACCCACTCATGAAAAATCTGAATATACTGTAGAGAAGTCTTTAGCATAAAACTCAGACAACAGCTCACTGGCAGAGCACTACCCTAGCATGTGCAAGGCCCTGAATTTGATCTCAACACCTCAAGAAACCAATAAAAATAAATAATTCTGGTGAAAACTATGTTCATAGTTTTATACTCACTGACACTCATTACAGCTGTGCTGGTGATATAGGCTAGCAATAGGACATAACAAGCACAAGGGCTGAGCTTCTATCCCTGCAATCAATAAAGCAAACAAAATGATGAAGGACCATGGTGCTCCACTGTCTGGACCTCACTTGTACTGAGCCCTTCCTTTGAGACTCCAATTTGGAAACAGCTCAGACTGGCGAGCACTTACCTTCATGAATATGCATCTATTGAGCATCTTCATTATGAAATAACCCCAGTAAAGGTGAAGGCCTTGCAGGACCATGAGCTGGAAGTTGAGGAAGATGTATGAGAAGAAGGGTTCGAGGTAGTACAGAGGCAGAATCAGGGTGCAGTACAAAATCCTGTGGGGGGGGGGAAACAGGTGGGAAATCTCATTATGTCCAAAGCACTGGTGAATTTTCAACAAAAGAGCACTTTTTTCCCTCCCCAAACAAATGCCAGTACTTAATTTCAAATGATGTCCCTAAAATTATTTATAGGAAAAAAGGGTCAATATTACCCAATTTATATCACACTTAGCAGACAATGGAAAAGTACAGCCTGTCTCCTGAGAGAAAAAACAAAAACAAGTGACACTTCATGCCACTGTTTGCTTGAGAGTTCCCATGCCTCAGTTCCCTCTTCAAAAACGAAAAAGCTTCCATGAACCTCTTTACCTTCTAGGAAGAGAGAAGTCACAGAAGCCATTGAGACACATGTTTACATGTGGCAGCTTATGACGTGGTTTCATTTACTTGATGTCAGCCGTGACTTGAGAAGGCTGGGATGTAGTTCAGTGACAGCAGGAACCAGACATACCAAGGCCAGGATTCAATCCCCAAACACATATTTCAAGATCGCTACCACTTCCTAAAGTGAACTGCCCACTGTATCCACTTCGTCCACAGACTCCTGAGCACAATTTAAGTGCTCCTGATGTATCAAGAGGCATAGCATCTTCAGCTCTTATTCCAGGATAAAAGGCTAAATGTTTTTTCAGCTAACCTCACACCACTGTGATCTTAGAGTACTTAGAAAGGGTGGGTTATAAACATATATTTACTTATAAAAATAATTTGTCCATTTACATTGAGAAAACAAGAAAAAAATTGTTCACAGTATCACCCTCTTAAATGATACTGCAATTTTAATGCTTCATCTTCCATTTTTTCCCATGCAGTTACTTATTTTTTAAATTAGCATACAGCCACATTTTCTGGGGTTTGGCATAGAGTTCATATATGTAGAACTACTGGCATAGAGCCATATATGTAGAACAGGCTACTGTGCCTAGGAACATAGTGATCTATCTCTGTGTTGTCACACCCTCTCCACCCTTAACCAGTACAACCACTTCTCTGCTCTCCAGCCTTCACTTATATCTTTCCCCAGAGTGTGTTTTTGAGACTGCTGTCTTTTACTCGCCCACTGCTTTTATGACTCAACCAAGTCCTGTTGTGGAATAATCTTTTTATACACTGTAAAGATGTATCACTGTTATTAGTTTAATAAAAAGCTGAATGGCCAATAGCTAGGCAGGATTTCCAGGCAGAGAGGATTCTGGGAAGAAGAAGGGGGGAGATGCCAAGAGAAGACAACCAGATATGGAATGAGTTGGACACACAAAATGGGAAAGAGATAAAAGTCACATGGTAGAATGTAGATTAATAAATAAAATAAGGGTTAACTTAAGTTATAAGAGCTAGTTAGGAGCAAGCCTATGCTATAGGCCAATCTTTTGTAATTAATAATGTTTCCATGTCGTTATTGGGGAAACTGACAGTCCTGATGAAAATGTCCAACTACAAAGTCCCCATGGGAGCCAGTAGCATTCCTTTGTGTCACTCAATGTCCCACTGTATGAACAGATCACACTTACATGTTTACCTACTGAGGAGACTGGAGTTGTTTTCCATGTTTGGCCTTTTTGAAAAGAATCATTACATACACTCATGTACATACTTTGTGTGTGTGTGTGTGTGTGTGTGTGTGTGACCAGAAGCTGTTGTTATCAGTTACAGAAGAGCAAGTAGGAAGGTGGAACTACTGTGTGATGCTTGGTAAGTACAGGGTTAACTTTACAAGAGCCTAAATATTGTTCTGGAGTGGCTGCTGTGTATCCTCCTCCCATCTCTGTTGTTCACATCCACCTCAGCACTCATATTGTCTGAAATATCTGTCTCCATGTTAAATGTAGTCCTTGGCGATTTTACATTTGTGGTGGTTTGGATAAGAATGGCCCCATAGGCTCATATATTTGAATGCTTAGTCACCAGGCAAGGCACTGTTTGAGAAGATTAGGAGGTATGGCCTTTTTGAAGTATGTATGGCCTTGTGGGAGGAAGTGTGTCACTGGAGGTAGACTTTGAGATATTTTAAAAGCCCATACTGGGCCCAGTGTTTCTCTTTGCCTATGAATCAGGATCTAGAACTCTTAGCTCCTCCAGCACATGTCCATCTGCATGCCACCATGCTCCCTGCCATGATGGTAATGGACTAACCCTCTGGAACTGTGAGCAAGCCTCCAGCTAAATGCTTTCTTTTATAAGAGTTGCCTTGGTCATGGTGTCTCTTTACGCCAATAGATAGTGACCAAAATACCATTTACATCCATTTATGTCAAAATTATTTTATGCTGTTCAAAAGCTCAATGCATCTAGTCTTTTCCAAATGGAAGATCTTAGAAATGTATTCAAAGTGTACATTAAAGGGGCATATTGGAGAGTACCAAAACACTGCCACATTATTTTCTAAAATTATAGATTATAAAGCCATCAGAAATTTATGAAGTTTATTTGCTCCCCCCACACACAAGTATCTGGTGGGTTTAAGGTTTGCGAATTTAAAACTCAGCACCATTTAAACAGGCATGATTTTGCAGGTCTGTGAGGGTCCTCTATGTCTGCTCAGCAGCTGCTTCCTCTTTTGTGAGTTACTAGCTCAGATTCTGCCTGCTCAAAAATTCATTGTATAATTTACCCATTTGTTATGCATATATCTCTCAAGTTTGCTTTTGAACTAAAAAAACATAGCTTTATTGTCCATTTAGGATTCAGAGAGTACATAAAATGTGAAGAGGTTTTAAAAACACCCCAAAGTGGCACAACTTATAGACTTTAGCATATTATCTTCCACCCACAGGATTTTATACATCAGGGATAACACTACATGTATGATTTGGGACCTTGAACCCTGATTTTTCCTACTCCGTGTTGTCACAGAGAACTTTTCATGTCAGTGAATGTAGTTGTGTATTAGAAGCAAGCAAACTTGTCTGTTCTACCCAGGACCAGTGAAGTCACAGATAATGAAGGAAATCCTACATTCTGTCATTTCACTAAACCAGTATGACCCCTAACTACCGTCTAAAATTTGTCCTCATACCTACAGATGAGTAGAGTTCTTAACCTTCATCAAGGAAACTTGCTCTTTGCAACAGACTAAGACCATAATAGAAGAACGCAACAAATCAGAGTGCAGTCACTGAGCTCAGTCCCAGTGGACGAATCTACAAGACAACTCCCTTAGGAATCTGGGATCACTGAATAAAATTTGCTCTGATATTGTGTCTTCTAGTAATGACAGAAGATATACCCATAAAGTTTCACCAACATGACTGCTTAAATATGAGCTGAACAAGGACAACAACAACAGACGTGCTAACTTAACATGGCTAGAGAAAGACTACAAAGCCTCAACCCTACACAAAGAACCACAGGCAACTAAGAAATGCTGACAGCTAGAGACACAGTTTTCCCCAGGGAAGAGTACACTCATTGGCTATCCAATACCAAATGGTCAGCACTGGTACACACAAGATTCTACTGAGTGATTTATGTATTGAGGAATATATATGTATAAAATAATACATATGTAACAACAATTAATGGAAAAAAAAAGAGATCATGAGGGGCTGGAGAGATGGCTAAGCAGTTGAGAGCACTGACTGTTCTTTCAGAGGACTCAGGCTTAATTCCCAGCACCCACATGGCAGCTCACAACTATCTGTAACTCCAAGATCAGATAAACATGTAGGCAAAACACCAATGCATATAAAATAAAAACAAAAATAAATTATTTAAAAATAAAAAAAGAGCTCATGAATTTGAAAGAGCATATGGGAGAGTTTAAAAGGAGGAAAGGGAAGGGAAGAGAAATGATGTAATTATACTTTAATCTCAAAAATAAAAGAAATAACAAAAACAAAAAAGGAAAAGATAATAAATACTTCAGGCCACTGGTCATCTGGTCTTTGCTACAAATACTTAATCCTGCCATTGGAAGAAAAAAGCAACTATATGGCACCTTACATATAAATTAATGACTGTGGCTGGGTGATCAACAATAAAACCTTATTAACAAACCATAGTGTGAGCTAGAGTTGACCCTAAGCCTAGTTTACCATCATCTGCCACACATCATTCTATGCAACAGCTGTACAAGATCCATTTCACAAACACACTGCAACTTAATTCTTCCCTGATAAGACAGTAAAGTTTTTTCCAAATCTTTATTAAAGAACATGGTGAGAATTACTTGAAATACATGTTATTAAGATTGCTTGATTCTTCTTTTAGAGAAGCTAAAATCCTGGACCTGTCAGACACTGCACTCATTACAGGTGGTAATATTTTGCTCAGCTGCTTTCCTGCAAGATGACAAGACTTCCTTCTTGTGCCCAGTGTGACGGCACCACTCCCTCAGATCCTAGGCAATGCCATGTTTTGTCAGTCTCCATGGAAAAGAGCATTGCCTGTTTATACTGACATTTTTACCTTAGATGAGGCTACTATATTTACATGTTATTATTTTAACTTGTTTTTTGTGAACTCTTTGTATATAATATCAATTTTCCTTTAAGAAATGTATTAGCCTACATCATTGTATAAAATGATGAACTTAAATACTCTCCCTCCCCATGGGTATGAGGTTATTCACTAATTTTGGACAACTTACAAGTTGCTACACCCTCTTTTTTCCTTCCAGTGGTGAGGATTGGACCCAGGGCCTCGTGTGTAGGCGGGGCAAGACTCTACTACAGAGCAACACCCAGCCCACATCATGACATTTTTACATTTCTGTGTCTGTTTACCTCTCCATAAGAAGAGTCTCCACGCCACTCTGGTTACCCCTGAATTTATAACTTTCCCTGGGGTCCCTGGGCTTAGCATCTGGGTGTCTCACCAGCAGGCAGATTCACAAAACCATAGCTGCAACCTGTGGTCATCTGTGCTCTCCTTTCTTCTCCAGGTCCTGTTCCCTTATCCACTCCTCTATCAGAAATCCGTTGGTGTCAAAACTGACAAAGGAAGATACTAGAAAATGTTCTTTTCACACTGTACCAGATAACGTGAAGAAGCAA